TGAGCCATTTTTGCTAGGTAAGCTACGCGAGCACGAAGCAGCCGCAAACTACACAACGTTTGCTCGCGTAACGTAGTCCACATGACGTGGATTCCACAGATGTAGATTGGCTATAGAACAAGATTTTATTATAACCTATACTTGTAATCAGTCAGTTTTCGTTCCAAACTTTGAAACAGCATGGAAAAAACATGTTTACTAGTTAAGCCTAACTAGGCTTAACTAGCCGAAAACTATTTATACTGTATATTACTATTTACATACAACGGTTATAGTATTTTCTTTTCAATACTGAATGTATTAATCATGTAATTTATGTACGTCGATAAAATTCTGTTATTTCTTTTTTGATATGTGACATGTTTATGTAGTCATCCGTCTTCCCCGCTCTCTCTTGCTAGCGTAAATGCTTTAGTTGTTGAATTCTGTGAACAGCGAGCGTACTCTCGTATCGCTGCGCTAGCGTAGGAAAAACAGCGCGGGCTAGAAGAAAGGGGCGGAGCCTTCTACATCATCAGTTGTGCTAGCCCATATTTGCTAGCATTTTGCTCTCGGAAAGTGCTAGTTTGCGGCGGCTCTAAGAACTTTATTTTTTTAATTATTAACAATCTTTTCATTATTATTATCATTAATCAACGTCATAATATTCATTTTTCTATTAATTTTAATTTTCACAAAAGGACGCAAAAAATTTTTGACAGATCCACTAGCTAGTACACATGTAAACAAAAACGTCATACAAAACAAAACAAGAGAGGAGAGAGAGAAATCACCACATGGCCTTTCTTTCATGATAAAAAAAATGTAGAGCATGAGTCTGCGAGCGATAATTAAGACTCGTGTTTATAGACTGATTTTGGGGGCTATATCTTGAGAAGGGTCACATGTAGACTGTCAGCTCCTTTGACTTTTTTACTCTTATAGATATCATAGCTGTAGACTTTTAGTTTACAGTTATGATAATGTCCCAAAAACCTAACTCAGCACTAATTTATACCATTTGAATTGTTTGATAGCTGTTTCCTCTGTAACCTTATTTACAGATATAAGTCAAGAATTACATTTTTGTTATTGTTTCAGTTATATGAATAATGTGTTTTGCTTTTCAAACTTAAATATTTTTTATTTACATGTGAAATATTATATATTAATTATGCAAGAATCTGGTGTCATTCATAAGTATACCTTAGACAGTTCAAATTCCCTGGTTGTTTCCAGAGGTGTAAAGTATTCTCTCTTGATATTTCCATAAAATAGTACATGCAGTATCCGAAACTTATTTAAATGATTTTAATTTAAGTTTATTAAATTTTGATATATTCCATTCAACAATTAGTTAAAATGCAAGTAAGTGAGTTCTAAAGAAATAGTGCATTTTCTATTTTATATAATCTTTCTTGTTGATCTCCTTGAAAGTATATCGCTAGGTATGAAAAGTATATTAAATTTTAGTCTTAGTAAATAGTAAAATTAGTAAATGAAATTATTGCATACAGGTGAGAAATGTATGAATTATTTCAGGTGAAAACAAACCAATTTGGCAATTAGCAGAAGAGAGAGAGGATAATAAGAACAAATCAAAAGTGTGCGAACCTTACATAGAATATGGTGGCTGGCACAAAGCAGCTAAAGTCGATAGGTACATTTAGTGACTTTTCTTGATTCCAAAAAAATGTTTCCAACATTAAAATCTTTAATTTTCTTTATTCCTAGCCCCACAGTAGCTACCACATTAAAAAACTTAGGCGCACTGTACAGGAGACAGGGGAAGTACGAAGCAGCTGATACTTTAGAAGACTGTGCGTTAAGGGCACGAAAAGAGGTAAGCAAAGCCAATTATCAGTTAACGAGTTAACTTTGCATATTAAAATTAAATATTTATAAAGGCAATAGATTCAGCGAGACAAGCCAAGTCTCCTCACTCCTTAAATGCAGAATTTAGTATAATTCAGAAAGACAAAAGAAGAATGTCCAGGGACAGTAGCCGTCGAGGTTCTAGAGAATCACTAGACAGCATGACGTATGATCGAATAAGTGAAGGTTTAGATGAGGTAAGTAAACTCATTTAGATTACAATATCTATTTTATTGACAGAAATCAAAACATCCTGTTGGCTATTTCATCATTTTCCTTTCTAGTCCGCCATACAGCGAGGTTAAAAACATCCCTTCATATGATACATCAGGATAACTTTATGCATGATATATAAATGCATCAAATAAATATTTCAGTGTAACAAATTTCAAAATATATACGTACATGTATACTAATTTTGCAATTAATCTAAGTCAGCTATAAGTTATATACTAAAATAACTTAGTTTTTTTTATTCTAAATATGAAGAATTAAACATTCCGGTTGAATGCTCTAGTAACACCTTCAATAAGAGAAAAGTATCTTAACCTTCTTTTTTCACAAAGCTAGATATTAACTGTATGTGGAAAAATAATAGCTATTATATTTATTTTAATACAGTTTGCAATGTAGCTGAATATTTAATTTAATTTGCTAAAATGACAACTTCTTTTTGCTTTATTTAACTATTAATTAATGCGACGCATGCATTTATACATAGTGAAATTTATAACTTTAATGCATGATATTGAAATTGCATTGCAATTTACTAACATCTAAAAAATTCTAACAACATTCTTTACACAAAACAAATATATATTTATATATATGTTTTAAGAAGTTCTTATCACTTTTATTAGTGTTTAATAAAATGAAGTGCATCTTGTTTACATTTTAAACTACAAAAATTACACCTGAACATGAGTTTTGTTACTTTGAATAATTACATATGTAATTCTAGAACTGTTCTAAGTCACTAAATATTATTAAAAGCATTGCCGAAATCTACATTATAACTCTTCCAATAATTTTATATAAATTATCTTTAGAACTTCGCTTGAAATGATAGTTTTAAAAGTATGTCGTTGCTTAAACAGTACATTAAATGAGATAAAACAGTTCATAAGAATTTTTCAAGAATTCTAATTTTATTATTTTAAAGATTCCAAACACTTTTTCTTTTTTAATTTTTAAATTGATCCATCAAAGACTATTTGTTCAATTGATCTTACCTGAATTTTCTGTACAGTTCATCTTTAATCTGTTAGTAAAAATCAATTTAAAGTCAACAGTTATTTCCTCCTATTTAGCTCTGTCTTAATTGCTTAGATTTTAACTGATATTTAACAACCAAATCTTAGATATAAAGTTTATTTTATCATTTATATGAATTTCTTTATGGTTATTTTGTTGTAGTTAATGATCTCATCTAGATCTATGAGATCATTAACTACAATAAATACAACAAATTAGAACTACATACATTAGACACTTAGAGATTGCTTGCAAGACTGAGAAGTTAGTTTAATATAGTTTTTGGAACATAAAATTTATAACAAGAATAAGCTTCAGTAAATCAGTTATATGAAGTATGAAAAATATTTCAGCATAGTATTCTTGTCATAAATTACGGATATAATCCACAGCATGAGAGAAATTGCCATCATTTACATCTAACAAAAAATTTTTTTTTATTTGAAAAGAGGAGATATGACAAGTAATCATTGCTGTTATAAGGATGCTTAAGAAATGTGCAACTTATTGCTTTAACTTCATATAAATATTGCTGTAAAAGTTGAATTTTAATTCTTGAAATTGTAATAACTTGATTAACAAACTATGCATTTTGTAGAGTGAGAGAAATTAATTTCTTGAATTACTCTTTGCACAAAACGATCTTTTTATATTTTTAACATTGAATAGTAATATGGGCTAGATGTCACACTTTTTTTTTATGCCATTATCTTGAATTGTTAATTTTCTAAGTTGTGATAATTTTACTTTCTAGTTCTCTCAATTTTCTCGAACAAAATCACTCAGAAGGCTGATCGTTCTTTCTTGTATGCAGTATTTCTTTTAATTACAGAATTATTTTCTAAATTACGTGAAATAATTTTACTTTGTGAATATCATTGTGCCTTTTTTTTAAACTAAAATAGATTTTGTAAATTTTAAATTCTCATAACAACCATTAAATGTTTCTTTGCATATGTCCCTAAACGTTTAGGAAAATAATTAGTTATTAATTCATTACTGATCAATATTTTGTTCCTTAATTATAAAATTAATTATCAAGAACTACGTATAAAATATTTGGAACATAAAAATACTGGTATGCACCACTTAATGACATTCTACTTTAATGTCTGTGTGTACTTTAATGATAGAGGTCTGTAAGATTGTAATAGAGCTGAAAAATTCCTAGTCGTCTGTATCTTTTCAAAGTTCAGATATGTTAGATACATAAATACTGAATGTTAGTTTATATAAATAATAGACTACACTATATAGGTTTGTCTAAGTACACTCTATGATGTATTTCTCAGAACATACCTTTGTAATGATGAGTGTGTTATTTTAAGGTAGCATAAAATGCCAGTCTGGGTGGGATGGATGATACTATAAGTGAAAAAGGGTCATTTGAAAATGAAGAGAACCAAAATTGTGAAGTGAAAAATTATATATCACCCCAAAATAAGTAGATTTATTATGAAAATGCTTTATAAAGTCATGTAATTTGCAACCAGTCATCAAATACAGCAGTCGTATTTGATGATTGAAGAGATACAGAGGTTCCCTCATTGTTATTATTTGTCAAGTAGAACAATTGCTTTCAGGTTGTCGGCATCAACAACATGAAAAAGGTAAATATGCTAATGATTTTGATGCCAATGTATGTTGTTAATAATAATACAAAAAGCTTTATTTTTATTAAAATTTACTGACAGACTGATTTTATTTTAGTGGTTATTTATTGAGATGATAAAATTTTTTTAAGCGTGTTTGCATCCTTGTTAGATACTAGTTTTTCATATTTTTTCCATTCTATAATTTAGAAACTGCATAAATAACCAACCCCTATCAAAATAGGTTTGAAGATTTTATTACTTTAAAAATGAACTTACCTGTTTTTTTATTTCTGTGCTAATGTTGAGGTGTATACAAATATAATTATCTTCAGACAGACACTTGGACAAGCACTAAAATTATATTAATTTGTAAATATAATAAATTAATAGTTTTAAAGTGGTATTATAGACCATTAAATGGCAGCAGAGTTCATAATTACGATTGTGGATGTTTGTAGTTTATAGCTTTCATAGAACACTTCTCTTCTAAAAAAGAGAAAAACTTCCCATTGAGAATAAGTCTAGTTGATTTATAGGTTTAACAAAATAATTTATTTTAAAAACTTATCAATTTATTCATGTAAAAACTAATAAGCTTGTAAATTTAGTTCATACAATAAATGAGTTAATTTGTCTGGAAAATAAATTAAAAATTACAAAAGTATGTGAAGCAGACAAGCTAGAAAAAAGAAAATCTTTAATCAGTGATAAAAATATGCTCTTGTTAACTGGCATTTGGGTCATTATGTACAGATTCAGTAAGAGAGAAATAGTAGTAATATACCACATCTCAAAAACTTATGAAAAAATTTGTAACAAATGCTAATTTTAAAATTAGCACTTGTTATTGCTATTAATTTTATTTGTTACTAAAAACAAATTTTTAAAACTTCAACAGTTATATTTTGACAGTTTAATTTCTGAGATAACACTCTGCCTTAATCTAGGGATGTAATAGTAAACCTTTTTGTGATCCAGAGGCATTTATTGGCTGTCTTCCATTAAATTGTTGATATTTTTAAAAAATAATTATGTTAAAATAATAAAAATTGTTAATTTTTTAAAACTTTTGCAACAAGGTGACATAGAATTGTCACTTCTCTACTATTTAAAATTACTATATTATGGACACAATATGTTTATATTGATTTGTTAAATATCAAGGATTAATCTGTCTAATTGACCAATAACTGATAAATTTGCCTGTTCAAAGATAAGAAAAACCATCAATTTTCTTGTTTGTTGGCAATATTATTAAGTTTATTCTACAAATATGGTTAGAAAATATGACTAAAACAAATTTTAAAATGTAATATCTTAGATATGCATGCATTGTTATCAAATCAAGGTTACTCTATCTAGTTACCAATATCATGTATTGCAGATAAGAATGTGAAAATCACCATCATAAACAAACTAATTAATCTTATGGCAGGTAAATGTTTTGTGAAACAAATCAAAGAAAAAAAACCATATTTTTCAATGAAATTGGACTTTTTAAAGAAGTTAATTGAAACTATTTAAATTTACCAGAGATTTAATTACAAAAATATTAAGTTTTGATACAGTCTTCCAATGATTTTGCTTTAGATATTTTCTATAATTATTTTCTCGACAAATTGAAAATAGTTAAGATATTAAACTTTAGTTTCCGTAAAGGCAGTTTATCAGTACTGAAATTTATGTATGATCTTTGCCGATACTCTACATGTAGAATGTGTGCTTTGTATCTCAAATCCTCATCAATTAGTCTTATATTATTAGAGAGTTTTACTGTTTGGAAGGTCTTATCATAGTTAAATTGTCCATTTATTTATAATTATAGCTGTGTATTGACCTTTACTCATTTGTGTATGTCAGAAAGGAAAGAAAAGTACACATTTCAACAATAAAAATATTTGTAGATTATATATCCATTTATAAGAACTGTAAGAAAGGGCATCATAACTTGTTAATTGGTGTAAAATTAGGAGAATGTCTCTTCTTTTATAAAATTGTAAAAATTTCACTCAAATCACTAAAAATTTCTGTTGTTTATTTAATTTTGGATTTGATTAACACAGTAGAAGTGAGTTAGCACATTTTTTTCTCTGAAATGCTTGCCAAAAGAGGACAAAATGGCAGTTTATATCCACTTCATAGTAGTTTGTATGCCACACAAGCTAGGTATGTAATGTAAACCTATTTAGCTTGTGAAATGTAGGAGATTACATAAAATTACATTGTGATTTTGTTAACTGCACTACAAACTTAGCACATGCATATAATACTTTAGCTTCACCACACTTAGCTTTTCGCTTCAATGGTATTCATGTATTAAACTAAAAACATGAAACTTCTATTTTTCAAGCTTTATGCTTAGGAAATCAAATGACTAAAACAAATTTGCTGTACTGGATGGTGCATTTACATAGCAATTTAATCTGGATAAAGCTCACTTATTTAATAATTTTTATGTAACTAAGATAAGTGTTAGTTACATGAAATGTCATTACATTAAGAGTAAAGAGTAGATAAGCCACAAAATATAATTTACTTAAAAATTTAATTTTACTTAATGTTTGACAAAGCTAACTATTGCGTATCCGGTAGACTTGGTGTCACACAGATTTGGAGAGAAGGGCTAAGGGCTATAGAGCTTTGTCAGTCCAATATCTAGAACAAGCATGAAATTTAATCTTTACATTAAAAGAAACTGGGGCTAAACTAGTATAATTAAGTTTCTTACATTCAGTTTTTTGTTTTATTGATTTTATACCTACATTTGTTTAGCTTTAAAGAAGAAGAGTAGAACTCTGCATTTTTGAGCTTTGTTGCACCTCCCTTGGCCCTCGATACCAGGCCAAATGGCTAGCAAAAACTGCATTATTTTATGTGTATATTATTTATTTAACATACATAAAAGTAGGGATAGTGAAGCAAGTAGCAATAAACTGGAGCTTACCGTATCTGACAGCAAACATGTATATTATTTTGCTTATCTTTGAAAGAGTTAGATTAAAATAATTTGTTACCTAATTCATATCTTTTTAATTACATTTTCTTATCAGAATCACATCTCTGTTTGTAGAACAGGATAAAACTTTTATCAGTCTTTTAAATTACTTTTGTTTTGATAAAATAAACAGTTATGTAAATTTTAATGCTCAAGTGAAACTAAACGTAACATTTACTGTTACCACAAATTAAATTAGCAATAAATTCTTCTAATTTGTGTGATTGATGGATGATACTCAAGTAGAGACTATACAAAATTGAATTAATTTACAGGGTGATTTTTAAGTCTCCTAATTAACTAATGGCTAGCATAGCTTTGCTTAATTCAGTTCATTCTACTGAAGCAACTAAATCAAGAACAACAAGCCAAACTGTTCTTAAAATATATATACAGGTAACACTCATATAACACTGTTGTTATGTTTCAGAAAAGTGTCATGTTATGTGAATTTGTGCTATATGAAACAAAAGACTAGGGTTAGGTTCCGAAAGTTAACAAAAGTATACTATTCTTTTTTGTTACTAAGAGAAAAATTCTTATTAAAGCAAGTGATAATTTATTTCCAATCAATATTTAACTAACAATCACAATCGAAAGTACTGTATTATGCGTTAATATTAATTTTAGTTAAACAAGGACATTTTCTTTTTATAAATTATCATCATCATTTGAGCTTTTTTGTTGATCTTGATCAGAAATATCAACAATGTCTTCATTTTTTGAAATTTTTACCATAAAAATTTTTTGTGTGTGGCAAAATAAAAAGTAAAAGTATGTTATTAATTGGAAATTTGTTCAGTTGAGGACTGAGTAATTTATTTTTCAAAATTTGTGTTTGAATGCCAAATTGTTTGAGTACCAAGATACTGCTGTATTTCATTTGTCGTTTTCACAAATGATTACTTAGCTGCGGTTAAAAAAAGTTTAATAACATTTACCTAAAAATGTTTAAATAAACCTTACTAAATACAATGATTAATGTATAAAAATAAAACACGGTGACAATCTTAAAGTTAGTCTGAAAGCAACGACGACAGGAAAGCTAGGACAAGGAAGAAAAATTGTACTATTGGTTTTCATTATAGTAAACCTAATGAAAGGCACAAAACCAATTGAATTTGAATATTCTAAAATCCATGGGCAAATTTGAGACATTAAGCTTACTTGAATAAAAAAAAAAAAAGATATCAATTTTTTTTATTTGAGGAGGATTTCTCAAATTTTCAAACTGTGGTAAAGTGAAACTGGAAACTATGTTGTACGGGGATATCCAAAATTTTCAAACTGTGTTGTAGAAGTGCTGTGTTGTATGATGGATACTTGTATTTTGATATATCACTTAATTGATTTTTGAATCATCCATTTTTTTTCATTCCCTATATAACTTATGTACTAATCAGTATACAATGCTATACTACATTTGGAAAGCTTACTAACAAATTATTTGTTAATTCAAGAATAAATTTGGTGTTATACTTGTCAAGGAATGTATCAAATTATTTAAAAAATAACTGTGGTGTATAACTTTTTTCACCTTGTTTACTAGAGAGCTCTTATTATTAGAGGTTGATTATTAATAACCACTGTCTGTAATCTTCTTTACCTTGCAGCAGATATACTGTTTATTACAATAAATATGGTATTTGATGTGTAACTCAGTAAGAATATATTTTCTTTTGCATTTTTTTAATATTCTTCAATGTAATGTGCTTAAATTGCTTTATCACATTCCACATTATATGCAGTATTTTATGGTCCTAATTCATCCTTTAATGCTTTATGATTAAATAATATAGTAAATAAACACTTTACACTTTACATACAGTTGAGAAATATAGTCATTTCGTGTATACAAGTATATGCACAGAATAGTATTTTCGAATTGATTTTTGTTTTATCAANAAAATTCCAGGAAGAAACCCTGAAAATTACAAAAAAATATCCAGGAAGAAACTATGGAAAAAATCCAAGAATAAACCCTGAAAATTATTTAAAAATTCCAGGAAGAAACCCTGAAAATTACAAAAAAATATCCAGGAAGAAACTATGGAAAAAATCCAAGAATAAACCCTGAAAATTATTTTAAAATTCCAGGAATAAACCCTGAAAATTATTTAAATTCCAGGAAGAAACCCTGAAAATTACAAAAAATATCCAGGAAGAAAGTATGGAAAAAATCCAGGAATAAACCTTGAAAATTACAAAAAAAGAAAAAACTCCAGGAATAAACTCTAAAAATTACATAAAATATCCAGGAAGAAACTATGAAAATTACAAAAAAAATCTAGGAACAAATCTAGAAAATATGAAAGATAATCCCGGAATGAATCACAGAAAATTTTGGAAATAATCAAGGAAGAATTCTTAAAGAGTTTAGAAATAATTAAGAAATAAATCTTGAAAATAAAAATATAATTAGAGAATAAATCTTAATACGTTTTATAAATAATCAAATAATGAATCGTATAAATGTTAGAGAAAAAAAATCAAGAAACAAATCTTATTTATGAAAAGTTTGGAAAATATTAATTAAAAACGTTTATAAAAAGAAAGATAATTGCTTGATTATATACAAATTTTTGAAAATAATTAAACAATAAATATTCAAACTTTGGAAATTAAATAACTGGTTAAAAATGAATTAAAATGCTATTTAAATTTAATAGATAATATGTCATTTAAAAGCTTTTAGAAAACAGATTAAAGCTTAATAAACACCTTTTAATCTTCTTCGTTCACCCGTTTATTTTCATGGAAAAACGTTGAATGTTAATTATTATATATACGTTTAACTTTTCACATCAGTTAATTCATCCTTTTTTTTTGTATTTTTGTCGTTGTTTTTTCTCTTATTTTTGCATTAAAGATACTGTAAACGATAGAAATTCATCAATCAAAGTATGTAGAAAAATAAAATGAAAAAGACAGAAGCGGCTGTAAATTTCATCAGAAATTTTTGTCACGTTTTCACGCGTGATTAATAAATAAATTGTAGTTTACAAAAATTGTAATTTACATTTAAGTAATTTACAAATTTTAGACGTGGAATCTTTCACTGTTGCGTAATTGATTATAATTAACTTTAATTGAAATTAGCATTGCATTTGCGTAATTGATTATAATTAACTTTAATTGAAATTAGCATTAGTTTCGGTAAGAAAAATTCTACATTCAATTATAATTAAAGTGATAAAAACAATAATAATCGTTAATAAGTAATTAAATGACTTTAATATAAATTAATAATAAAATTTTAGGACAGAAACGTTATTTTTCTTTAAAATATTTGCTTTATAATTTAAAATTTCAATTAAACTATGTTAATTCTTAATTTATATGATAATTAAATTATTTAAAATAAATTTTAAAATTCTCCTTTTACGTAATAAATATTATCATTATTAAAATCTAAACGTGTAAAATTTTATAAATTTTGGCTTAGTATTAAGAGCGTATACTTGATGATTTCAATTTGAATTAAACACAAAAGAATTAATTAATTAAAATTAAATTTTTATAAAAATATCTCATTAAGATAAATTAATATGTATTTTATACGAAAATAGCTTTAATTAATAGTTAAATTATATAATATTCTCTTATCGAAATGTTTAACATTAGAAATATATGTTAATGGTTATAGGAAGATAATTAGGAGAAATTTCGGTTTATTAACAATATATAACATAATTAATGCAATAAATATTGCTGAAGGATTACCATAAATGGCCATAGATTTGTTGTATAATTGCAATAGGAGATAGTTGAAGAGGAGGATGTTATTTTCCCAGAGGAGTCGTAAGGTTCCTTCTCACATAACCTTGACAATGACAGTTCCAATGATATTAACCCATTAACACCTCCTACATAGAAATCTGAGTTGAGACAAACTATAAAGGATGTTTATTATTGTAGTAATTAAATACCTACGCATTCAATGGCTTCTTGTTAGTGAAAATACCATTTGTGAACCACGTCAAGTCTCTTTATACTATTTAAGCTTATTTAATACACGTTAAATTCAATTGTTAAAGTATAACAGTAAATATATTTGCAATTTCAAATAAAACTTTTATATTAACTCTACCAGCTTAAAATTTTCGGAAAATTTAAACTTTTAATTACATATTTCGAGATGTAAAGCTCGAAAATTCATTAAATTAGTTATAAGACTCGAATAATTGAGTTTAATTAAGTTTAGAATAAATTAAAATATATGTTTATATATATATATATATATAGAAAAAATATATATATATGTTTGTATCTATATATTCTGCTAAAATTAAACTGTTTAAAATTTTTTTTTAAAGAATGAAACGAGCTAGTTCAATGACCACGCTTAATTCAGATGGAAAGGTAAGCATAGTTGTTTGTTTATTTAGGTTTGTTTTTATTTATAAGGTAATGTAATTTTAGTTTGATTCTAGAATGAATGACTTTGCTGCAAACCTTAATTTTCTTTATTACTTCACCTATTGCATGCTTGATATTGGAATGCTGTGTGTATCTCATCTTAATACAGGTTTATTGCACACTGGTTGACATTAACAATAATATTGAATCATTGGTTGCAGTACTATTATGCTTAAGCTTATGCTTAATGTTCTGAAAAGTTTGTGTGTTCAGTGAGGGTAGGCTATAAACTTTGTAACTGATTAAAATACAATTTATTTATAAATATAACACTGTTTTTCAACAGTAGGAACACTCACTTTACAATATTGTTGCATATAATTACATGTTTCAGTTTGATTTAACACCCATTAGTAGCCATATGGATAATATCACTGAACACTGCTGAGGTGGTCACAGGTTCACACCTCAGCAATAGGCGAGTCACCTAGTTTTGCAGATATTCTCCAAGTGTCTTAACACTTAATTATGGACGACCAGTTTTCTCATGTCCTCCTGGGAAGTAACTTCCATTTATTACAGGAATGACTTGGATATTCCAGTTGGCACATTGTCAAGGTGCATAGTGTCTGAAAAGTTACCATGCTGTGGAAAAGGTTTAAGCAAAATTTTACTTATGATATTGCAGTTTCTCTGACAGCAAATTTTCTGGAACTGTCCCCAGAGACTCAAAATTCAGTGGATAAGGTCTGGATTCTGCCAAGCACTCTACATTTTACTGATAATACCCATATGTAACACAATGTACATGACCCTTCCCCATGCAGGGGATTTGTCTTAACATAGAATCACAAGTGTGGTATGTACATATGTTCCTGTGCAGATACAATCTCAGAACTTTGGATTCTATATCATAGTAGATAGAAAGATTTAATAGGAAAAGTTTATGGTAAGCTAAGATTAAAGATCTCTGATCATAATCAAATTATGCTGCCTTGTTAGAGAATATTTAATACTGCAACATGTGAAAGAAGGAATGTAAACATGTTATAATGTTTGTTGATTTAAGTAAGATAAGTGGTTGAATCCATTAGCCTATTGACTTGTCTCAGATGTAAATTGTTTACATCTGTCACCATCAGGTTTGTTAAAGGTACATCCTAAGTATGAAACCAAGTGCATTGATTCATCAAAAATAATGACTCATTAATTAAGCCTGAATTATAAACAACTTAAGTAATAATTCCAGATTTACTTAACTATAACTTGACTATTTAAGTGTATAGATATAAAGTAATTTGGACTAAAAGTAGGTGATTCAATTGCCTATCTTTAGTCCAAATTACTTTATAACTATGTATTTATTTAGCCAAGTTACAGTCTGATGAATCTTGCAATATCATTTGATTAATTCATTAATTATTAAATGGTAAAATTTATAATTAGTTATGTTTATAAAGAAGTAGCTTGATCTGCACAATAATATCAATTGTATAACTTTTGATAAATTCTAAATGAATTATTTCTATCTTTCTATAAGATCAGTTCTTTGTATTTAATCGACAGTAAATTTTACTTCTGTTTTGCTTTTGGTTGCTAAATTGCTATCTTATCTAAAATAAATTCAGATTAAATTATCTTAGTTTATTGTTTATATATGCTGTTGATAAGACACAAATGTAAGTAGGAATGCTCACGACATCACTAAATCTATTTTAAAATATATTAAATATTTTATCAAGTATTGATACTGTTTAATCTTCCCAAAATTTAATGTTTTACACTTTAAGAGTTACAGAGGAATGTATATTTAAATATCTGTATTATCAAGTGTAATTTATAGTATTTTATTCCACTAATCTCTAACAAAGTTTGTTGCAACTTAACAAATATTAAAATATATTTGTTAATAACATAAATAATAATGTTTTCTAGATTACTACCTTTTTTTTTTCCTCGATTTGGCTCTTTATTTTCTAATGCATTCTTGAGATTTTCACATTTGATATCAAACTTTGTATATTTCATATACTCAAAGTTATGTATACTATGTTACATTAATTATAAATATATGAGTTTCGTTTGTGATTATAACATATATATTTACAGCATAAAAGCATAAAGTCGAATGATCTAGTTGCTTAGAAGTTTGACTTTTGGCGTTGGTATACATTTTATCAAAGTGTGAGGCTTTACAGCCATGGATTAATTAGATGTTAAATATAATAATTATGTCATAACAGTATAGGTAATTGCCAGATGAAATTGTTTCCTAGCATGGTTATAATAGAAATTACTTGAAAGAAACAAAAATTGTATATTATTAAGCATGTAAATGAGTGTGGGAGGCAAAAGTCAAGGAGAGTTCTGTATATAAAATGTCAGAAAATGAGGCAAGAGTTTATTTCAAGACAAAGCAAAAGAAATAAAATGTAAGCATGTTCTTGCCAGTTTTGTCACATTGACACAAATGAATTGTAAGGGTTTATCTATCCTCCAGATTTACCTATTCGTTAAGTATTGAAAAATAAGTGAACAGAAGATAGATTACATTTGACAAAAATCAAGAACATTGACATAAAGGGCTGTAATAATTACTTTATTTATAAAAATTTTGCCATATTAAAGCACTTGTTTTTCTTTGCATACTTATATAAACTATTTTTATATCATGATGTTGTTTGTTTATATATCCAGCTATCTTAGCATAATACAGGATGGCCTGAAAGTCAAACAAGATATATATATATGTTAACAGACTTTTGGGCCACTTTTTATATCAGAAAAATTGAATAAAGTCATGTGAATTGCCTATTGAATTTTCTCAAAATTCCAAATAAACTACATAAATGACATCCCTCTTCAGTATAAATTTGTTAATACAGAAATATTAAAATTCTTAGGTTAAAATGCAGAAATGATAAAATTTATTGTATGTAATTTTGCATTTAATATCAAAATCAAATGTATTTTATTGCAAGCTAACATGAGCAGTCATCTGTTAATTTCTCTGTACATATGTCAAACACATGTTTCCTGGCAATAATGGCATATTTAATTTATTCAGTAAAATATATTTAAATGAAATAAGTTATAAATGTGAATTAAAAAATTATTAAGGATTTCTTTCTTTCATTTTAGACTAGTAATCTGGTGAGCATGCGTCCACAAACAGCAAGTTCAGACCAGCTGAGAAGTTCTCACTAACAAACATAGTAGCATTAGAAGAAAGCGGTATGTTTCAAATTGCGTTACAGATCGTAATCGTGGCATTGGAAGTTGATGTTGCCTTTGGATGTACCGAAGAATTAAATACAAAAACACAAATCGAAAAATGTGATTTATTCTGATATGATCTCTATGTAATAGAAGACATTTAATTATTATTTTTCCCTATATTGTTTTATTATCAAACAATCGAAAACTAAGAACCAAAAAAGATTATTCTAATTCGATTCTATTTACAGAAATTGCATAAAATAGTAAAAATTCGATCTCTCTACTGTCAAATATAGTAAAAAACAAAAATCTATCTTTTGTAAGTTAAAATATATGTAATACATTGTCTTGTTTGCGGAAAGTCCAGAGTTTATGAAGGAATTGTGAAAGTCAAGTTCGTTTCGAGCTTTAATGTCCGTACTTAAATTTTTCTTATTGCTATCAAAGATTATAAAGATTAATGGATAGATACAGATTAACGAGACATTCCAGTTGTGTTTAGTTTTTTTTTGTATTTTCGTTTAATTTTTTTTTTATAAAGAATTAAGTTTCTTCATCAGTTCCTAGTATGTTTCTCTTGATCAGAATAATATAATTGTTACTTTATATGATTTGGCCTAGAAATAATTTTTCAAGTTTTCTTTGAAGTTATGTAATAAAGTTCAGATTTTATTTTTGACATTTTTTAAATTAAATTAATTTAGTTTAAGTTGAAGTAATTGAAACAAAGAGGCAAGCTAACTTACTTCTAGGCTAAATGCTTAGTTATTTTGTGCAATTATATTTGCTGCAACGTGGGGAAGTTCAATGTCAGTCGAGTGAAAATCCACTCTCAACTACTGTGGTTCGGTTAATTCTTGATCTTAATAATCTTTTCGATTGTTTGGTCATGAAGACTGATGTTTAGTTGCATAACCTGGTCAATTTTTGACCATGATAATCAGTTCCTGGCCGTGGTAATGCAGTCAGCTCTTGGTTGTGGTAATCAATTTTTGGTCAAAGTGATTGATTTGTAGCTACAATTGTCTCAGTTGATTTTTGGCCATGGAAATTGATTCTCGGCTGCAATTAACCTAGTTGTTTTTTGGCCACTTATCCAAAACTCCAAATAATTTTGAACGGTGGCTCTCTCTACCCCTGCGGCAACTGTAATTGATAGTCGATACCAAATATAATTTTAAAAATCTGGGTGCTGTTTTCAATAAATGTAAAAATAATTATATACAGTTTTTGATGTTTTTTTTTTTTTTGTACATGTTCGATTCCAAATGCTGTTGCTGTCAATATGCAAGAAACAACAAAAATTAAAGACTTTTTTTTAGCATCTCCTATGTGATTTTTCCTGTGAATATTTGTTTATGTGATAATTTACTTGTAAGACAGTAAAAATGCGCAAGCTTAAAAGAAAAAAATTGGAAATTACGCACTTGTAAATTGATTTCTCCCGTAGCCGTCAATTGTGAAAAAGTCGAGAGTTAGAGAAATCCTAAATGTTGTGATATTGAAAGAAAATGGTGTTATTTATTTGTAATTATGTTCTTTATAGAAATCAAAATATATATATTAGTATACAAATATATATACATATACAGTATACCAAATGTAAACCTCGGTTTTATTTAAATTGATTTGTGATTGAGAATAATTTGGTCTACTTTAAATAAAATTTTGATCAATTGTAACCGTGTCGCTTGTTTCTTTACACAAACTTTTCATTCAATTTTTTTTTCCGTTCATTTCAACTTGCGCTGCATAAATTTATGGTAATCAAATCTTTTCAAGCCATTCAAAATGCCATACATGCACATACCGTAAACACACTTTGGAAAAATATACCATTTGGGCTATAGAATAACCCATTCAAATTGCATTTTTATGTCAATAAAAGTCTGCAATATCCTGAAAATATTTGTTCAGTTCTGTGCCTGCATGTATGGTTTTTCAAAGACTTGCTTGTATGACAATACAGAAACAAGTTAGTTAAGAAGTTCAATTATGAAGTTAGTTAAGAATAAATACATATGTGAATTTTTAAATAAAAATTGCAATCAAATAATTGCAATTAAACAGTTCCACATGTTAAAAATGCATTTATTTAACTGTATTTTCAGTATGTGAAACTGCTTCATGCATTTATTTGATTTGTGCAATTGTACAAAAATGCATTTGAGTTTTTATAATCACTCTTAAAACAAGATATTTTTAAAGTAAATTAAAGGGCATAAAATGTCACTTTATATACTTAATTTTTAATATACTTAGTTTTTTTTTTAATTTTTAAACTGTTTTACAGTAATTTAAAGAAATCTCAATGCATTTTCATAAAAATTCAATTTAATAAAATTTACATTAATTGTAGATTTTCCCAATGAAATTAACAAAAAAAAAAAAGAATGAAACTGACAATTAAAATTTAAAAACTTGTCAATTTAACAATTGAATTTTTTAAAAAATGCAACAATGAGAAAGAAATTGACAAGTATTGTATTTTTTTTCAAATCAGCTGTTAAAATTTCAATTTCACGATTTATATTTTGTCAATTTCGGTGTAAAAATAAAAAAAACGGCGTACTTTTTAAAAAATAAAAAGTCATTTCTAAGAAATTACTTTTATAAAAAAATACAAATTTTAAAAATATTTTTAAAGAAAAAACTATTTGAATATATAAATAATAAAAAAAATTTTTTTTTTAAATAATAAAGCAATTAACCATTTAAGATGGTAAGAAAATTGTGATTTCTTGGAATAAGCAATTTTTTTAGATTGCAAAACAGTTGTGCTGAATAGTTAAAGGCATCCCGTCTGCACCAGTTAAGCACGTGAAAGTACCGTGTCGATAGTTTTATCGCCAGTTAATTCCTATACATAACAACAGATTTTTTTAGATGATTGGAAACCTTCCAAACAGGTTCCAAAAAAACAGGAATTCGAAAAAAAAAAAGCAAAACCAGAACTGCATGGAGCTTAACCAAAAACCGTTATTAATGCTTCTAGACGTTAGCTGCGTGTTATCGTGTTACTAAATGCAGAAGGCATCCTCTGGACCAAGGTCGATATACGTTTGAACTTTGACCCGCGTGAGGCCCCGAAACAGGACGAGATAAAAAAAATTCTTTTAATCTTATTCAGCAGGAAGGAGAATTCCCAATGACAAAACTACAAATGTCACTGACAGTTATCTGAAAAAAAAAAATACTTTATATAATTAAAGCTTACAAAATTTCTGAATCTAAAAATACAATTTAAGTGTCCTTGTACTGTTGTTTAACCGATAACTTCTTCCAAAAAAAAAAAAGAAAAAACACTGTTTTCTTTTATTTTTAAAGATGATCTCAGAGACTAAATATCGAATATATTGATTATAACAAGGATCTGGCGGTGAGTGTGCGGGTTTAAAGACCTCTGAAATATGTTTAGTGGATTTTTTTTCGAACCTATTATTCCAAAAAATTAAATTTTTTATTCGAAGATGAAAGTTGAACTTTTCAAAATTGATTTTTATTTTAGATTCTGTTAAGTCGGTAATTACATTTAAAATTTATAATAATAACAATAAAAGTTAATAAATGTTCGTTTAATTAAAAAATTATTTATAAATAGAATATTGTTTTTTTTATATAATATTTGTTTTTTTTATTTAGATTTTTATTTATTTTTTAATTTTCTTGTATTTTTGAGAAGCTTGTTTATTACGTTTAGAAGCATTTCTATTCATGAAATTGATTATTATTATTATTTTTTTAACTTATTAACACGTGTTTGTGGAAATTGACAATTTTTGTTTACAATTTAAAAAATCAATTTCTAATTGTTAAGAAAAATTGTCAGTTTCTAAAACACGTGTTAATAAATGTATTAAAAAATCAATTTCTGATTATATGAACTTCTTTTATTAACACGTGTTTTAGAAATTGACAATTTTTCTTAACAATTAGAAATTGATTTCTTTTTTAAAAAAATGCAAATGAGCAAGAAACTGATTCAATTAATTTTTAAAAATACAAAACAAAACGAGAAATTGATTGATTATTTTTTAAAAAACGCAATAGTTAATTTTTAACATTTAAAAGAAGTGGAAAATAACAATTTTTCTTAGTTTTTTTTTATGCGTAAACACAGTAAAATTTTAATTAAAACTTTAAAAATTGTTAACGCGAATTAACTCGTTTACAAAATTAACGATCGCTAATTTATTTTTATTTTACTCAAATAAAAAAAAAGCAGCAAAAAATTGTGAGTTTCGTTCGTTATGTCAGTTTAATTCGTTAGATATTAATTAAGATAGTTCAAGCTTAATCGGGCATAGATGACAGTTTGTGCATGCATATTGCTGGATTCACGCGCTGTTAGATGCAACCGAGTGCATCAGTCTAACAGAACGTGACATCTAGTTTAAAAAAAAAAGAAAAAAAAACGTCTGCAGCTGCTTAAAAATAAATAAAATACCCTGATTTTGTGTGTAGTTTGCAACGTGGCATATCCGAGACTAGACAATGTGTTTTTGAAATATAAACGTTGCAATGGGTGGAAGGGTGTTAAAGATGGTTACTCAGCTGCATGTAACCCTTTACACTCCACGCCTACGTCATGAGAATGGAGCAGACAGCATCGTCTGTGTGTGGCAAGAGCAAGTAGACAAGGTCATAATCTTAAGACCTCGCCAGTGTGGCAACATACTTTGACCGGTTTTTGGTATTGGCATGTTTATTGTGTGTTCGCCTTTTAGATAGGCAGGAAAAAAGAAAAGGATGTGTAGCATCTTCACCCCCGAAATTTGAGGTTTTTCTCCGAAAACACCCGCTAGGTGGGGTCGTAAACCGTGATCGGGGATGAGCTACACCCTTCTGCACGCGCTGGGCGTTTCTGCAACACGTGACACCGTAGAAGGCTTTCAAAAAATCGCATTCGAACCCCCGTCCCTGTGTTACGAAACACATTAATAAGTAAATTTCGGCTTATCTAAGCGATAAAATTGCTCGAACGGGCTATAATTGACCTGAAGCTCAAGGTCGTTCTGTACTGTCTTATCGTGTTGTGTGACGTGTGCTATCGTCCCCCCCCACACGCGCTCGCGCACACATACAGTTATCGAGCAAACTCGAATGTGTGTAGGGAAATTAATTCCAGTGGGAGGGTGGTAAACAAGCATACGTGACTCACGATCTTCTAACCAGATTATTTTCTGAATGCTTGATATTCTTGGAAGTTGTAAAGGGAACTAGATTGGAAACAATGTTATTTTTTTTCTGTGTTAACGGGGATTTTTTTTATTCCTTTGATATCTTTCACCTCTCACGCATTGTTTTCGTGACGTCCTCGAGTGCAGTTTTGTATCCAAAAATTAATGCTTGCTAGTGTCATATATCGATTTTTGTATTAGTCCCTATTGGGAGTGTCGATCGAAGGTTCAATCGATGATTGAATGAATGAAGAGGGGGAAAAATCGTGAGAAATCGTGGAATTTGGCTGCATGCATCACTTCCTCTTTTAACAATGGGAATGATGTAAGAACTTCCGGTTGTTGGGCTGTACAATTTATTTTTATTGTAGAGCAACATAATTTTTTTGGAAATTCGTCGTTTAGATGAAAGTGATAAAATACCCCCATTATAACTTTTCGTGAGAGGGAACAGTTGGGTTCACTATGCTGTTGTTTAAGCAAAGGCCCTATCAATCTTCTACATTTACTTGTATGAGGAAGAATGCGAGAGGCCCTACATTAGGAGAGAAGTTCGCCAATATGACTCACTCCAACGTAGCAAACTTTACAATAGGGCCAAACATATTAAGGCCTCTTATAGCTTTGACTTCTTCGCTGTGTGGATAATTAACTCTTTGTAGACCTCCAAAGAGGACATAATGTAGACAGAACTGCCTTAAAGTTTGCGGTGACAGATAGGCCCTCATTTACAAGGGCCTGTAAATATTGATAATTTAGTTTTCAAGCCTCAATTTGTCTTAAGGGGCTCATCTGAGAAGGGAATTGCTTCACAGCTAGAACGAGTAATGGCGAAACAAAACGCACGTACACGAATGAGAGCAAACCAGTTTATAGAAATTCGAAAGATGTAAACAAATTTGCATTTTTTTGTCACGCTCGGTGGCCTAGAAACACGCATTTAAAAAAAGGAACACTGCAGAAAGTGCCGGTAATCGGTACAAGTGTATATTAATAGAAAGACATATCAATACGAGAGGCCAACGACCAAGAGGCATAATAGAAAAATAATGAGAGGAGGAACCGTTAGATACAAAACTTTCTCTCTACGCGCTCTCTCATCCGTAACGTGGACGAGGTCACGTGACTGGGTTGTTAACAAAAGGATCGATCCAAAGGCGATACGTAACAATATTTCTCCTCTATCTTTATCGCTAAGCCATGGGATCGAAACTTTAAGACAAGGATAATTTATGCCATTTCCTAATGCTCTACTTCTCCTAGTTTCTAGAAAATGCGCGTGTTTAACCTTGATAAGCGTAACAAGAATTTTCGTGATGTCGATAAGTTTACGTGCGAAACAGAGAAAAAAAAAGAATTGGGATTTTTTCCGAATTAAGGGATTTTAGTTTAGGGAATTATCTCTAAGACGCGGGGATTTTCTTATTGTCCTAGGGAATTTTCTTTACAACGTGGGGATTTTTTTTTATTTGGCGGATTTTTTGTAGGAAATTTTCTGTAAAATTTGGAGAACTTTTTAGATTAGGGATGTTTATTGTACATTTAGAAAATTCTTAAGGTATTTGGAGGTTTCTTATTTAACGCATTTTTGTAGGAAATTTCCTTTCGAATTGGAGGACTTTTTAATTTAAGAGGTTGTTTTTTTTTTGTAAACATTTTATGTTCGAATTTGGAGATTTTTCCTCTTAAGGAAGCTGTCATAGGGCGTTTTCTGATCGAATTTATGGAATTTTTTTAGTAATCAAGCCAAGTTATTCTTCACGTCTCAAGGCTTTATTCCGTTCCCAGCACTTGCTTCCTTTCTTTTTTTATTGTGTTTATGAGTGTAGGTCGTGGTGGACATATGTGACGAGTTAAACTCATAGGGTTTTTATACAGGAATTCTTGATCCAATCACTTCCGGTTTCGTTTTTTAAGACCTCGTGTATGTCTCTCACGATTTGTATCGCCTCCTTAACACAACAAATCACGTAAAGGAGGGGTTCGGTGTAAGGATGATACACGTCACATGTTTTACAGCGGGTGGTACGAATTTTTGGACTTCTTAATCCTTTCAACAATCCTAAACCTGTAATTAGTGAACTCGTGTAACGAATAACTTCCTCGAAAGTCAATCTTAACCACAAAGTTTTAGAAGTAGCATAAAATAAATTTAACGAGAAATTTCCCTAAAGTTTTTTTAGAGATTAAATAATTTGTGTTTAATTTAATTCAGAAATCGCATTTTATTTATATTATTAAGGAAGAGCCGACAGAAAGTTCCCCAAAAATTTCCCCTTCATTCATTTTTTTTTCAAATTTCAAAAAAATTGAGTATTTATAAGGGTGATAGTTTTCCTTAAAATTATCATTCCTTGATAAAATTTTTATTTCCATGGGGATTCTACAGAAGAAGAATTATTTATAACTTTACTTTCTCATATTAAACACTAAAAAAAAGTACAGTGTGATGATGCTACGGTGTGTAATAAAGCCTACATATCCTACCATATGGCAGTGTTACGAAGTTAATTACGTACACACGTGTAAGCTTTCAACAATAAGAGAGAACACAAGCGTAAGTTGATTAACAATAGGAGGTACAGTACAGTACTGTACAGTATAGTACAATTGGCACAGTTGAATATCTTATCTAACTATAGCTCAATAACACTGGAGGGTTTTAATTAAACATCAAAGCCTCGCATAGTAATGCATAGAACAAATGCCTTAAATGACGTAACACCGAGTTTCTAATTTAAATCTCATGACGTAAACGAGAGGCCTGCCTTAAATGTCAAAAATAAATCTCTGGTTATAATTATGAGGTAGAGGCCCCTTTGTAGGAACATATTCTGACTCACACTTTCATTCTGTGAATAGAAGGGAGTTGTTTACATAGACACTAACAAGGTGCAAGCTGTGGAATAATGCATGAAACTATACGTGAAACATGCGCCAAGTTTTGAATTGTTTCTAAAAATATGGCCATATGTGAAGATAAATCAATTCCGAGTACATTTTATTTATTACGGAGTGCCTAAAGCTGCAGGCATCCCTCTTAAAGGTCAAATTAAACCCTCCAAACTCGGTCAAAATATCATAAATTCCAGAACAGAGAAAAAATAGTTACAAGTAAAAACTAGCTTAAGTATTTTAACATCCTGTTACTGATTTTTTTTCTTCACTTTTCAATAGTTTCATTGAAACTCGTCGACCTTCTTTACTTTCATGCCGAACAGAGGGTGAGGTTCATTTCTCATACGTCACCTAACACATTTAAATACAGCCAATAAACGATTGCCATTCCGAGCACGTGAGCGGATGTAATTCTGTTTATTTTACGTTATAAACACGTAATTTGCGATTTAAATAACGTAACAAAGAAAATAAAATACGTATCTTTTCTCGGTAGGGTTTATTATTTCTAAAATTTATAATCTATAACAACATCCTGGACGGATTTGTATGTCTAGGGATATTTCCCTGATGGAAAAGATAAATTTAGGAATTTGAAGAAAACTTTTTATGCTTTAAAGGCGCATTTTATATTTATATTAATTTTAGAAACGAAATTTATCATTTAGTCCACGTTTCCGAATATTTTTAACGTTTTCGTGAGATTTATTAAAAGAGAAATTTCGGGGATATTCGTTAACAAATTTGTAAAATATTTCGATTTGAATGAAGTTCCGAGGTAGTACGAGATAAATTGTTTAATTTAAATTTATTTTTAGCTAAAATTAAACAATTGTAATCAGTTTACGACCGTTGATTTGCATTAAATAAACGTCATCGTTATGAAATTTCCCTATCTTTTGCAGACGTGGCAGTGGCCACGTGCACGATCACGTGATCTGACATCACGCTTTCTAGTCCATTCGTCGCTTGATTAGAGGGTGTCATCACGCTGATGTTGGTCCACGTGACTGAACAAGAGCCAATGGAAGGAGGCGAGAAGATCACCACCATCGAGTCGAAAGATCAGCTTTTTCAGATGTTAATAGAAAGCTTTATCGATCATGATACTTTAAAAAGTTGTTAATAAACACCAAAGAAGAATAAAATAACGTTTTTGGTAAGTTTAAGACATTTATAAAATTAATCCTGCTTGCGTAATAATGGAATATTTGAATTATTGACATAAGGACCGCACTCGATATGCTTTCATAAATCGGTCGTTTGGATTTGTTAAAATTGGGAAAATTGTCACGTTCTATAAATTACTTTAATCGAATTTTTAATGGTCCGAAATTAAAAATAGATTATTTCGAATTTAAATTTCTGATTACTATTAGAAAGAAATATTATTTATTCGTCTATAGTAATTACCAATCGGGTTCAGTTGTCAACGTGGCAAAGTCAATGGCCTCCTTCACTATCAGACGTCCTTCATTTCTCCATTTAAATCGTTTATTTAAAACGGTAATTAAAACTTTTTAACTCGTAAAAATAACTTTATAACTTTAATTAAAATTAATAATATAAAATTTAACGTTTTAATCCAAATTTATTGCTCAATTTATCATTCGGTTGAAAGAGGGCAATTTCCCTAATTTCTCTTCTTATTTAAATAATGTTTAGGGACAAAAATGTTTTCCCTTCTCTTAAATATTAAGGGATAAATAGATGGTAATTAGGGAAATATCTGTAGACGATGGAGCGTGTAATGTGCAGAAAATTGCTTGCAGATGAGTAAAGTTGTAGGATTTAATTGAATTGTGCAATATTTAAACAGAAATGATTTAAAATTGATGTTAGGAGGGGTGAAGTTTTGAATTTTTAATGTTGGTTCCATGTTTTTTCCCTATCAGCTTCCTTCCCTCCTGTGAAGATCCTTTAATGCCTTTCGGCTTGCATGCTGTCATTTGGTTCCTGAAAAAAATAGCTTAGATCCTTTTAAAGCATTTGGAGGGGGGGGAGAAAATCCTCATTTGTTGGGGAAAACCATAAATTGACATGTGCTTGAAGTCTAATCAATGCTAGATCATGCAGAAGGTTGCAAAATATGTCAAAATCTTCAGTTTATAGAGGGGGAACTGTGTATTTGTATGTATTAGATGCATACAGCTGATGTCAATCATGTTTTCTGAGAAAAAATGCAAATTTGCACATATTAGAAGCATAAAATTGACGTTAGAATGTGTGTAAAAGCTTGACATGTGTCAAAATCCCTAGTTCATCTTATTTCTGAGGGCATGAATGCAATTTTTACTGCTATAGGTACAAAACTGAAGCTAAATAATGTAAAATTTGCCAGAAATCTGCATTTTTTAAGAGAAAAACATCAGTTTGCATTCAGTAAACGTATAAAGCTGATGTTACGTGTCAGGAACAAAGATTTCTATCCTTTTTAAGTAAAAGATCATAGATTTGCACTTATCGGAAGCATAAAAACCAATATTATGGCACGAAGGAACAAATCTGCAACCATCAGAGGGCTAAAGCTCTGATAAAGCATGCAGAAGAGACCAAAAACACATAAAAATGCCAATTTTCTAAGGAAAAACATGGACCAAATCTAACAAACTATTGCAGTGTCAAAACTCCCATTTTTCTGGAAGGAAAACAATAAAAATTTGCATCCATTGGACGCATAAAGTTTTGTTTGTAGAGGTTTTTGACTCGAGATTTCCTCTTAGCAGCAATATTGAGCAAGACAATAATTATTGCTATTTAATTTTTCCTCTATCCTTATAGGTTTTCTGCCTTTTCTCGACATTCCTCTTACAGGTTTTCATTTGAAAAAAACAGATAAATTAAATGAAAACTGTGCGATTTGGACTGTAAGTCCTCGGTCCTCTAAGGTTCCTTTATTTTTAAGCCAGATTGTAAGATTGAAAGATTCCAATAATTTTCTTGTGTGGAGACTGTGGTAGGTGCAAAAATTCGGATGGAAAAGTATAGTCGTATGTCAAATTTCGATGCGCTTACCAATTAAAATATAAGAGAAAAAGCAAAATTTGTGATAAAAGACAGGAAAGGAAGCGGCCGGAACAATTTAATCATTGCAGTTGCGACAGATTTGTGAATGTTTAGCTAGATAAACATGCATTTGTTTCCAGAAATCTTTCCATAGTGGTAAATTTTAGTGTGAAAGGATTGAATTTTGTTAATTTAATGTAAGCTAGATACTTGTTTGTTTAAGTCATTTTTCCTATCAAATTACTCCATTCCTAAGCTACTGTTTGTAACTTAAAACATTTGGCGTAGCATGTCCAAGTGATACTTTAACAATTTGTATATTGATAAAGTTACAATATTTCTGAAAATTCAATTGTGTTGCATGTTTTTTTGCACGAGTTTAGAGGAACTGACTTGAAATTCTCTAATTTTTGAAGCTTTCCAGGCAGAATTTTATTGAAATCAGAAAGAAACTTGTGAAATTATCTTAACAAATTATTTTTATGCAATAAATGATGATAAATCCTCCTTGTTTATAGTTTAGTACATATATTTTGTCAAGGACTACTAATTAGCAATAAAGTTCTGTTTTGATTTCTCATTTACAGTGAATCATTTGCTTTGTTTGCTTAATTTAAGAGGTTCAAATTAGATTCTGTATCCTATATTTTGCAATTTAAGAGGTTCAAATTAGATTCTGTATCCTATATTTTGCAAGAAGTTTAATTCAAAAGGACAATCGAAATTCAGAAATTTACCTAGAAGAAATTAAGTTACCTGTCGTGTGACACTCGGTGTGATAGCGTTAGCCATTTGCGCCACTAATTTATCCTCATTTTTACCCGTTCCTGCCTTGTAAACAGCTTGATGTTGCAATAGTAAATTTTGCATATAACCTTAAGGAGAAGTATCTGCAAAACTCCTGTATAACCTGATTTAGGATCACATATGTAATAATTGTTTATTGGTGGAAAATTCTTTAATTTCTTTATGGGAAAACACAGAAAACTATTGAAATGTGATAGCTAATAAGTTAATATTAAGAAAGCTTTATGTAATTATAATGGAGCCTACTGTTGCTCTATATTTCTGTGGTCAGAGTAAACAATTTTAATGGAAAAATGGTAATACTTGGGTTCTAAGTAGACTATATGACAGATGTATAATGTGAAACGTTAATATTTTTCCTTTGAACTGCATTGTATCTCCTCTGAACCTCTTTCTACGTTTAAATAGGGCTGACAAGCACCATTTGTCTATTATGGGAAGCAGTTAACAAGAAGCAACTGGTTAATTTCTTTTATTAATCATATATTCTAATTAGTTGAGCTGTAAGCTTAAGTTCCGTATGCGACTATGAAATATGGCACTCAAGTGAATTTACACCTGCTTTTGTGGGCTAATTTTGACATTAATAAAGCATTTATGCATCTTTAAAGTTGTTCCTTCTACTTAATCTATTTATGGCTATTTATTACTAAATTTCATTTGGATAGTAGTAAGAATTACATTTAATGTTTCATAAACACAACACAAGCAGCTGTCAGTTGATTCTCCTTGCGTTAAAATGTATTATGTAGCTCATTAGATCGGCTATTATATTGACCGGCAGCAATTAAATAACTGTGGAGTCAAATTATGCTCGATTTTTGTAGTTTTCTGCAGGATAATCTGGATTTTCTACAGACTGAGTCGTAACAATATCCACCAGGAGCAAAAAAAAAGTTAATTTAATAGTTCTTCGAATATTATCTTGTTCGACTTTGCACTCTCGCATGGCCATAGGTCAAAGGATAATTTAAATGTATAGATGCATTTTACTGGAGAAAACTGAAATAGAATTAAAGGTTTCTTGGAAAATCTGCTTAGTTCAGGTGATTAGAATTTGTTAGCATTTGCAGCAGTTTTTATTATAGGCCTACTTTTGGACTGTCGGTGCTTCAAATATTGTCCTAAAGGGGATGACGTCTTCATTATAGTGTAAACTCAATAGTACAGGTATTATCATAGTGCAGTACACATGCCACATCTTTATTCTTTGTGCAGTGTAAACCTCATCATTTTGTCTTAACCAATGAAGAATTCAGAAAGATAAACCTGAGAATTTAAAGTAATTGAAGTTTATTTTCCTCTTAAAATGCTTGATTTTGGATAATTACTTCCTTACTCTAACATTACAGGATAAAAAGCTGAAGGAAAACTGTTTGCATCAATTGAAACATATTAATTCTCATTGTAGACACCGTAATGAGTTTGTGGATAAGTTTTTTTGCCTTTATTTGGAGTTACTGTGTCTTGGTAGAGCATAATTGTGTTCAAGGACGCATCGAAGGTCTGTTTAGGTACATGCAAATCGTGAAGTTTTCTTCTATGTAACAAAGCAAGTTGATTGTTAATCATGAATTTTTTCTTGGTCAAAGTTTATTGCTTTTTTTGCAAATAAACATATTTTGTCTATTATATTTTTGAATTTATTCCTGTTCAGTTAAGAAAATTCTCATAATACAGTTAAGAAAATTCTCATAATATTACCTTAATTATGGAAAATTCCTTTAATTTTCTTAATTATGAACTAATAAATTTATTTAATTTTAACACTATGCTGAGATGTCGAAGCTATATTAAAAGCAGTTTTTTTTCTTTTTAAAGAATTTTTTGTAATGATTAATTTGTCTTAGCCATATATTTTTACCAAATGTATATTTTTAATTTTATATGAAGTGCCATTGCCAGAGGGATATTTTAACTGTTTTACATAGAGGTGGACAAGCAGCCTATAAAGAAAGGTTGACTCTGCCGTGAAATTGTTAATTCCTCAAATGTGCGTTTGAAAGGACTAGATTGGAATAATAAAGACACATTTGTTTGTATTGTCTTAGAAGAATCTGGTTAAAGATTTCTTTGTAATTTATTTTTCAGTAACACAAGTTGCAGTTCAGACAGTCAATATTCTCTGCAGCATGGATGTTCAGACTGCGTTTGTTTGCGTCGGAGTTTTCTTTGGATCGGCCGCGGTGGTGTGCCTGATTTCCATGTTTGCAATCAAGGAGAAGACTTTCGAAGAGGCCATAGAAGAACAGAAGCGACGCAGTCAGGAAGAGGTGCTCTGTAAGACCGAGAAGCCCAAAAAAGACAAAAAGTATAAAAAGTGGTCTCGGCAGAAGAAAGAGAAGAGCAATGAGAAGTATCATGAGGAGGAGAATGTACTAGAGAAGTGCAATTCCTGTGACCATGTAGAATTCAAACCTGAGCCGGAATTTGTGGCAGAGTCGGATGGTGAGACGAAACCACCGAAGAGCAAGAAGCACAAAATAAGTGTGCCAAAGCCAATACTGGCAAAGAAGGATGACGTTCCCATTGCAGAGTCCATCTCCGAAGCCCTGGAGGAGGTTGACCTCAGAAAGGAAAAGAATGAATCGGGGGAAGTGGCAAGAGAAGTTGCAGAAGAGCCCAAAAAAGCATCCGAGCCAACCTTCATTAAAGAGACGCATCGACGGGAAATCAAAACTGCAAGAGAGGTCCATTCGGCTGAGACAGAACTCGCCAAAGAGATGCCTGTTACGGCAGGTGTTTCCAAGAAGAGAAAGGCGAAAGTCGAGCATTTTGAAAATGGTGAGTTACCTTTTTTTTTCTTTTTTTTTTACAGCTAAAAAAAACTTAAACAAGGTGTTTAGAATGATTGTTTATGTCTGTAACAAAGGGAGAATTAATGTATTTTATACAGTTAATCAATTTGTTTTTATTAATTATAATTTTGATGCTAATTATGAGAACATTAACTGACAAATTTCAATTAACTGTCCCATGAGATCACTCGAGTTAATTATGAAACTTGAAAGCAATACTGTATTATTGGCTTTGTTACGTAAATCATGGTCGTCTTGTCATCATAATTGTTAAAGGATTTCCTTTCGTAAACTTATACATTAACATATTTCTTATGTGCAGTTCTTTACTATGATACAGTTCTTTCAATGCAGCTTAATGTGTAGTAAAATATATATATGTGGTGGTCTGAAAGTTGGTTAACTGAATTTAGAAGAATAATGGTTTACTGACTTTTAGGCCACTCCTATAAACTGAGCATCCCAACACATTGTACACTTATTTTATTTACATTCTTGTGAAATAACTAAAATAAATGTTACAGTAAAAGTGTTTAATATATCGGTAACCATGTCTGTACATTCTTACTTAGTATTTCTTCTCTGTGCACCCCGAAGAATGTTCTGAAAAGAGCATACACACTAAGCTAAACAGAGCTAGAATTTAAAGGATTGTTTGGTTTCGTATAGAATTCTATCGAAATAATAGCAAGGTTGCGGCCAAAGTTTTCATCTCGAACATGAACGTCGAGCACTGCTTACAAGATAGCAGCGCTCAACGTTCGGTGTTCACATTTGAGAGATGAAAACTTCGGCCACAACCTCTCTATTAGTTGTTAAAATAATGTGTAATTGAATCTTCACTACTTGATGCTAACTTTGACGGACATTTGAATTGCCTTGCTAATTTGATATGCTAAAGACTGATGCATGCAGGTGATGAAATTAAGATGATCGGCATTGATGGCTGGTTCCACTAGTCTTCCGACAACCTTGACAACTATTGACAATCGGTTGAACCTGTTGTCAACGCTTGTTGTTATCTTAATTCTCTGCTCGTATGTGGCCTTAATGTCGGTAAGGTTCTTGGTATATTTGTCTGCAAACCTCTTTCAAGGCTTTAGAGTTGTACAAAACTTCATATATGTAAAAATAGCATACAAATTTTTGACTTTAAACTGTGTTTTTATAATGGTGAGGAACTTTTATGCTTAGTTTAGAGCATGCAATTAGTAATTAAACGAGACAAAATGTATATAAACTTGCAATTGACTGTTTAAATTTAGAGATGCATCAGATTTTTTGTGCATTTTGTTATATAATTGACTGTTCTTCAGTTCATTCAAAGTTTACAGTTGTTTTTTTAGAATGCATGAGTAGATAATGATAAGACGATGTGCCATTTTTATCAAATGATTACATCCTCCTCTAAACTAGATTATCTCGGAGATAATTGGTTATTATTTTTGTTTACGGGAATAATAAACAAGGGGTTATGAAACTGTGACCCAAATACATCACCAGGACAATGCCGGCTTGTAATTTTGGCAAGTTTTGCTGTCCAGAGTGTGTGTGTAATATACAGACGTTGACAGCTTTACGTTTACATAATTGTCTTTTATATAGATTGACTGTCTGTTCTAAAATTAATTTTTAAAATATTTTTCAGGTGATTTCATATCTGGTGCCAAGTTGCTGAATCTGATGAAGAATGCTATACTAACTGATGTAGATGTGCAGACTCTTATCAATTTCTTGTTAAATAAGCAGGGAGAAGCTTCTGGCTGGATGAAGGTTTGTCCATTTTAGATTGTAAATTTTGCATTATTAAGAGAATGCTTGGTTGTTTGCTCGAGTATTGTGTAGAATCGTAATTAAAGTCTAAAGTTGTGGTTGTCAAAGTCCACTTGGCATTATGTTCCTTGAATAATTTAATTCACGATACTACAAGTTACAGAAATGTGAGGACTTTTAATATACAGTTTAACCTGCTTATAACGTCATCCATGGGACCGGCAATTTTTTGACGTTATAACCGAGTGTCATTATCTGCGGGGTCATAATTTCAGTTCCATAAAAGTATCAAGTCTGTTTAAGAATCTATTATAAAATTCATTAATTTAATATCGTATGTATAAAAGTGCAAACTAAATATTTAAATCAACTTTATTTACATTATTATGTCTAAATTTACAACGATGTAATTAAAAATTTCAAAAATTATTTTTCATAAGAAATTTTTATTTGTCAAGTTTCGATAATGGCGGCACTTTCGGTTTTAATGCCCGGATGATAATTTTCTCGTTTCTTGCTTATCTATCAATGGACAATATATTTCACTTTTAGGTTAAATTAATGTATATCAATTAAAAAGAAACAATAAAAATATTCACTTAAAAAAAGTCAGTTATTTTAGATTGTAAACTACAACACGAGTATGAGAGCTATGCAGACTAACCCACTGTCACGTCGTTTAAAGGGGTGGCGCATCTCACCCCACCGAATCAGGTGGTGACAGTACCACCCACAATCGTTCTAGGAAGGGACTCTGACTGAACACGTAGTATTTTCTTTGATAAATAAAATTTATAATTTAATTTTGTAAATTTAAGAGTGCTTCAAATATGACGTTAAAACAGGGTTTTATGTCGTTACAAGTGGGTTTTTTAACATTATCTAGTATAGTAAAATCGTGGGACCGATAAAAATTTGACTTTATATTAGGGTTGTCGTTACATCCGATGTCGTTATAATCGGGTTAAACTGTATATTAAAGACATAATAAGAGAAACTAATATTAAATGAGATCAAATGCTTTAAATTTACTTAATTTCAACTGGCTTTTACAGAAAAATGATCCAGTGACGACTCTGAAAAAGCAGCTACAAGAGAAAGAACAAGCTCTGGAAGTGGAACAGAAACAGACACAGGCAGCAACTAGTAAATTACGTGAACTAAGAAAAGAATTGAACCAGGAGAAGTCGAAGTTAACGGCTGTTGAACAGACCTCACGTGAAAAGATTAGCCAGTTGCAGCAGGAAATCCAGGCCATGCAAGTCCGTATGAAAAGTAGTCATGAGCAGCACGTTTCGGAAACCTCGTCGGTGCAGACTAAACTGCAACAGGTACTCGTCGCTTAACATTTAATTCTGGTATTGGCACTTTTGCGACTAAACACTAGGATCATTTGATAAAATGGATTTCTTACTTGATCAAAGTGTTTTGATGCACCCCTTCTGGTCTAGTAGAATTGGTATATTTTGAATTTACATCTTAGTTACATGAATTTTGAGTGATGATTCAATTCCAGTATTGTAGAAACATTCCAAAGAATCATTGTGGAGTAGACTCATTTTTACATATGTTAGACTGTGTTATGAATGTACTTGGCAATGATTCTTTGGGGTGTTTTGGCATGTCACGTGTTGGCATTTATGCACCTCAGCATATGTTTAGGTGCATAATGGCATGCTGCATTAACACATGGTCTTAATTCTATTAAAAATTTAATTTCCTTTTTAGTTACAAGCCAAATTAACAGAAAGCACCAACGAAAATGCAAAATTACAGAAAGAAAAGTCCACTTTAGAGAGTACACTTTCTACTATGGAATTTGAGTGAGTACAATCTGTAAAAGAGGTCAAAGGTTACTACAGTAAATGTACAGACCACTTAATAATGGATTTTTTTGATATGTAGAAACAAGAGCCATTCTGAAGAAATAGCAAAACTTCAGTCCAAATTAAAACAAGTTGAAGAATTCCAGTTAGAAAATGAAAAGAAAGAAAAGGACATCCAGCTCATACAGAAGTCAAAGGACAATATGGAAGAGCATAACAAAGAACTGGAAGGGCGCATTCGTGAACTTATGTCATCGCACGAGACCGAGCGCAAGGACCTGCAACAGAAGTTGTCGAGCACAAACAGTCAATTAAAATCCGTAGAGAAGACTTGTTCAGTCATCAGTCAGGAATTAAAAGACAAGAAATCTGTCTGTTCTGATCTAGAAACGGACAATAACACGCTAAAACACAGGTTGCAAGCTATGGAGAGTGTCGTCAAAGACAGGGAACAAGAAATTAAAAAGTTACAGGCCAGTCTGGAGGTAGGTTAGCATTTAGTTTTCTTAGATTTCAGTCACATTTACACTGTAATTTAGAGTTGGGCATTAATGGAAAATGCCCTTCCTTGTTTTAATATATTTCAGTGTACAATTTTGTAAGCTTGAGGAATTATTTTGATAGTTTTTCAGTTGTATTGAGCGTTTCATATTTGTGCAGTATCCAAAAAATAATAATTATTACTTCTCTATTGTAGGAGACTTGCATGCAGAGAACAGAACTCGAATCTCGTCTAGAGCAACTTCAGAATAAACTTGAGCAATTAACAAAGAGTCAAGAAGAAGAAATTCATCAGGTGATGTCGACCCCGGTCGATCACGAGAATCTAAGTCAGTTTCCAAATGTGGGTGAGAGAACCTCTGCAGAAGGAGAAGAAGCACCTCATTACCATCAAAATGGAGATGTTCGCCAGGAGGTATATAATAATATCCCATTCTAAACATTTTAAATTTAATAATAAACCATTTTTAATTTTCTTTAGGTGGATAAAACTTCACAGAAGAAAATGTTAGAGCTTTCCGAGCACGAACGAATGTAAGTATATATTTATAAAATTATTTGGCCAATTGAAATAGTTTGAACATTTTACGTACGAGAAAAACTTCTGGATCTTAATGAAAAGTTAACTTAAATTTTAGAATGGAGGAGAAAGAGGCAGCTTTAGAAAGGTTATGGGACGAAGTCAATCAGCACAAATCAACTATAACAAATTTAACTGAAGAATTAGCTGTACAGAAACAGAAAAATAACGTAAGTATATACAGTGTGTCCAAAAAGTAATTTTGCAGCGAGAAATTTGTAATAACAGTAAAGTTGTGTGTTGCATTGTGTATGTCCCACACTTCCACTTTACAGTAGAGCTAGATAGTACTCAGTCCCAGAAGTTCCAGTTTAGGCAGTTGGCAGTCTCCCACAGAATCTGGCCTTGATAGGTTTTGGGATCTTGCTTTGCACCTCTGATTTTGGGACCTCTGGGGATATTTTCAGCATTTGCTGTAGGAGAAACTGCAATATTGTATATAAAATCTTTTAAAATAAAAACTCGAATACTTTCTTTTGCACAGTAACTTTTTGGAAGCCCTACAGAGACTTATTTCTTTGGCTAATTATTCTTGTATAGCATGAGACTAGATATATCTGTTCTCTGTATAAGAAACAGTTCGATTTGGCTGTATTGCTACCATTCCTTCATTTTTATTTAGACTTTAGCCAGAGATACCAAACTCTAGATAGCGTAATGGTTATGTACTATTCAAGTTCTGCTGTGATCTAATGAGAGTAGGTTCTCTCAGAGCTAATCTTTGTTATATAAGTTTTAATATTGCCATTGCTGTTGTAACAATATTCTAAATGTCACATCATAATCTCCATTGCATATTTTTTAATGTGTTGTAATTGGGTAAATGTCAATCCACTTCCTAAGTTCCTGTTATGCCACACACTAATTATGTTGGATTTGAGCATATCGTTGGTCTTTATGGGTCTTTATGCTGATGTATTGCAGCACATTGCTTGTAGAAATAATGTTTGTATGTCTTTGGATCAATCCCTTTTCCTGCAACACATAAATGTTTGTGGCTGGTTGCAACTTAAATATATTGTACAGCTTTCTTCTGGTTGGTAGTTAATTGATTAGAAGAATGATAACCCATATTCTCAAATTTATCTCTTCTCAGTATCCATGTAACAACCAAGGAATGATGATAATCTTGAAGTATATCACATAAATACAGTAGAATATGCTCATTTTAAAAAATCTAAGTTCTGTGTTGGTGTTAATAAAATTTCTTTCCTCATAGGAATTGAGAGAAAAGAACTGGAAGGCAATGGAAGCTCTTTCTACTGCAGAAAAGACAGCAGAGTCAAAAATAGAGCAGTTGAAAAGAGAGTCCGAGGAAAAGATAAACAAGAGTCGAAAAGAGTTGGAAAGGATGGAGGAGAGGATAGAAGAAATAAAGAGGCAATTTGGTCAGAATGGGAAGACGGAAGAACATTTTGTACAGGAATTAAGAGAAGCAAAAGACAGGGCTGAACAGTCATTACAGACGGTAGAGCAGAGGCTGAAGGATGAACGCATTCTAAACGAAAATAGATTAACTCAAATAGATGAATTGCAGCAAAGGTTTCAAGATTTTCAGACGACTGTAAATAATAAGATGAAGGATTTAAGTAAAGTAAGTAGCCTGAGCTAGAACTGTCATCTCAGATTTCAACAGTTGTAGCAGTTTCTGCTTTGTTTTTAGGAATTTGATTCAAAAATAGAAACTCAACAGAAAGGAGAAAGAGAGCTGTTGCAAAGGATATTTCCCGATGTGAAAGTCAACAAGCAGCTAGTAAGATCTTGTTGTATCTGTCAAGAGTTTAAAATGAATCAATTTAACTGAAAATTTAATTGTTCTAGGAACATTCTGTGTGGGTTTCTCATTTTGAACGAGAAGCTTTGAATATAATTAACACTACACAACTCCGAATGGGAGACAAAGTAGCAGAAAGTCTCCAAAGGGAGGTAGATGAGTTAAGAAGTCAGGTGATGGCTGTGAAAGAAGATAAAGAGAAAACGGTGCAACACTACAAGACTGTTCTAGCAGAAACGGTAAGTTATTTCACGTTTGCATGCTTCAGTTTTTTGTGTCCTTGTACTTAAGTTGATTCTCTTACAGGAAGCTATATTAAATAAATTACAAAATAGTGTTGAACACGAAGAACTGGAGTGGAAAAAGAAACTAAAATTGAAAGAACAAGAACTTGAAAAGGTATTTACAGCACGTTCTTCACTTTAGTAAAGTAGTGTGATATTAAATATAAACCTTTTCTACAATTCTTAGGTTAGTAAAGAAAACAAAGAATTACTTTCGGAAAAGAAGACGTTAGAATCGAACCTTCAACAATTCCAAGGATTGGAAGAGGTGAGTGGAATGATTTGAGTTTGAAACTGATGTTCTTTTGACATTAAATGCAAATTTCCATTATTTTTTTTTAACAGACAACATCAGAGGTATGTGGAGTTAGATTTGCGTATAATTGCATTGAAAAGATCCTACCTTCCGTTGTTAACGAGGTACAGATAATTATTCTGGCAATAGAGCACTTGGCATGGTGATGTAACAAGGAGACTGCATGGGTTTCAGACAATGCATTGGGTGTAGAATTTCCTTTTTTAATTTAAAGCATGCAAATTTGCTTTATTTCCTCAATTGCAACGGATTCATGTTAAGAAATGCACTTTAATTAATTGCAGATGTACCTAAATGAACATTATTTGTTTAAGTTAAAGTAATGGAGCTGTACTTTGACTCCTTGGCAATCAATGGCAACACACTGTGTATTAATGCAAAAGAAATATGAATTCTTTGCATCTCTAGTCTTCCTTTTAAATCTTATGTTTGAGATCTTTCGTCTTCCAGTGAAGATCAAGCAATTTTCTTAATATGGCTGTTTAGTGTGTTGCTATTGCTTTGTCTTAATATTCTTAAAGTGTAAGAGAAAATGAAAGGTTTGTGATTTGCTGCTTTTTATTTATAGATGCAATGCAAACTCAAAGAACTACAAGTCAAATTAGAAGGGGAAGAAGCAGAAAGGAAATTACTTGAACAGAAACTAGAAGAGGTATGTATATTATATTGTCATCATAACAAATTAATGTTAGTTTCTGCCTAACTTTGGAGTTGATATTTTTAATTGGTATCTCTCATGAACATGAATCAGTGATGCAAAGTCTGTCTGCATGACATTGCAAAACTATTCTTCCAATTAATAAATTTGCCAGATGTTGGGTCTTATGTGGTCTGATAGATCCTTGAAATCTAGACTTTGATGGTTCACTTTTTAGCATTGTATGTGCATTTTTCAACTGTCTGATGGATGTAAAAGCAGTTAGAGGATTGATTTTTAGGTCTGTGCTTGCCATCATGTTCCTCTGCTCTGTGGCATAAATAGAACATTGCAGGAGAATTGAATACTTGGAGATTTTTATAAGAAAACCTTAAATTGCAAGTTTTTGAACGAATTAATGTATTTTCACTGATTTCAACATTGATATGCTGAAAAATTTACAATAAGTTGCTGATACACAGTAAATGTTTACAACATTAAACATATCAGAAAAAATTGATTGATATAATATATACAAAAAAATTTATTTAATTGTTATTCCTATTTATAGTATCAATACAGAAGTTGAGGCCCTGTAGGTTAGGGCATCACATTTTTACATATAGCAGGCCCTTCCTCTACATTAAATAATAATGTGTCACAGCTTGGGACCATAAGTCTCTATTAAGCCAAGATTGGACTTAATTATCAAAATAGTCGAACCCCCCTATAACATGGTAGATACGTTCCGTTCTTTATAAAATTCATGTTTTGTGAGTCCTTAAATACATGAGCCAATCACAACCCGGCACGTATGCAGTTTACGGACTATGGCTGTTTGAAAGGTTTTCTTCCATAAAATTAATTGATTCTAGACTAATTTGACTCAACATTTCCAAAACACGTATAATTTTTTGGTAATAATCCATATAAACTATGCTATAAACAAAAAATTGTAGGCTTGCTTACCGAGTGTGCATTGTTTGACGATGCCATTGCTTAAGCTTGTTTTCGTCGTGGAGCGGTGCATCAAACGGGCGTGCGTATTTCCTGATAAATTATTATTATTATTTTTTTTTTTTGCGAAAAATTCGCTGAACTTTGGAGACATCATTAATATAAATATAATTTTTATGGACATTAAATAATAAATGGTTTTTAGTATATCTGCTGCTCGTTTAAACTCAATGGTTTGTGCAATATTCACTATTGGTCTAGATTCAACCAATCCTGTCGGGACACGAGTCGGCAATGACATTTTACCAAATTATGCGAGTCTCTTTTAGCATGTTTATATGAATATAGTCGCAATTTTTTCATCCTTATGTACGAATCCGAATTATATGAACCCGTTTTATAGGGGGTCTACTGTATATTATATACTCGGTGCAGATGCTGTTACTGCATGCACATAACCAATGTTGTCAGTTGAAGTGTTTTCTGTGTACTTTTACCCAGACTTTGTTCTTGTATACATATTCATTGACACACTGGCTCAACTGAATCTGACTCTGCTTATAATTTAGTTTTTCTCAGATTTACACTTTGCACTTCCAGGCTATAACTAGTGATTCACCAAAGCAAAAACATTGTTGTTATTAACCTGTTTTAAATGAGTCCATTAACATACTGTTTGCATATAAGATGAGAAATTTGGCATGCTTCATCTTAAGTCTGAACAGTTTATACTGAAATAATAGTGAGGTTGCGGCTGAAGTTTTTATCGCTAAAACATGAACGTCGAATGCCACTCCTGTAAGCGGTGCTCGACATTCACGTTTTAGAGATGAAAACTTTGGCAACCTCACTAGTGTTTTGAAAATGCATATATATTTGGGAAGTACAATGGCACAGAACCAGTATCCTGTTAAATTTCAATGCTTGCTGCTTCAGTACAAAGACTGATTTACTGTTTATTGCCAAGTGACTGCTTATCTGAGTATTGGTAATTAACGAATTGCACATACATAATGACACTGTAGCTTTATGTGAAAAGATTAACTAGAATCTGAAATTGTGCACGATATACTAAACAGCCTCCATTCTTGTCATATTTAAGATCATTTGCAATGTAAATTCATGAGTATTCATTCATTGGCATTTTAGAAGGATGTGGCTATATTGAGATTTGTGTACAGTCTGAAATAAAAGACAGTGAAAGCTCAGGTTTGCTCTTAGGTATAATCTGGGTGAATAAAATTGGGGAGAGATGGGGTGGGTTATATACAGTGAAAATCTCATGTGAAATATTTTTTATAAATCCATTTTCAGGCCAATCAAAGTGCCTTAAAATTCAAAGAAGACTTTGATGCCAACTCGAAAGAAATCAAAGAACTAAGGAAAGAGAGTGGAAACTTTGAAAATGTTAAAAAAGTAAGTAAAAACCTTCTGTTTTGTTTAGGATGATAATGAGAAATTAAAGTTATCGAATTGCTCTATTAGGAATTGCAACAAATCAAAGTCCAATTAGAAAAAGAAAAGAAGATTACGAAAGACCTATCTGCTCAGACGGTCAAACTCAATTCTCTAGTTAAAATTGGTCAGGATGCATTGCGTGCTGAACAGGAAACAGTTGAGAAGCTGCAGGCTCAGCTTCGGAGCTTAGAGGTGAGTGCATTTCTTTCTTTTGTCTCATGGAAGCAGATTGAATTCTGATGCGAGTTGTCTATTGCAGAATAAGAATCTGAATGGACCGGGTGCGTCCCAGAATGCGGAGAGTGAAGTAAGTATAAATACTAATATGTTTATCTTTCTCGATATCCTAAAGCGCATTCCAAATCTGCATGATACTATCCGTTGATGTCTGTAGATTGTGATGCGTTGTCTGAACCCACATTAGCAACATTTTGCCAGCTTTATGCCCAAAATTTCTTGGAATTTAGATTGTTTGATATGCTTTGCATAGATTTACAGACAAAACTGTGCTATGCTTTAGAGCAGTGGTTCCCAATTAGTTTTTCCTGCGTACTACTTCAAGAAAGAGCTCAAGCTCGTGTACCCTTATAGCAGAAATTCATATTAATCCATACTAATACAGTAGAACCTGAAACTCGGCTCTCGATAACCCGGCACTCCGGATAACTCGGCCACACCCTGGCAGGTCAAAAAAATCCTTAGTTAATTAATTTTCATTATAGACAGCTTTATAAAAGTACAAAAGCTCTCATAAAGTATTTTTCTGAGGTCTGTCTTATCAGGTAAATTACTGTACACAGTGTATTCATTAATTTTCATTTTCATGTAGTAAAGGCTCTATGCCTTCATAAAGGATGTACTTTTCCTTTGTTTAAGGGTATTTGGGCAGTTTATTCTCTGTTATATTCTCAAGTAAACAATACATACAAGTACAGTACAGTATTTTCTGAGGAAACACTTGTACTTATTTTTTTTAACCCTATTCCCGATAACCCGGCATTTTCACAAACTCGGCCACCCTTCGGTCCACATTAGGCTGAGTTTTCGAGGTTCTACTGTATTATAAATTTGAAGGTAATTTTGCTGTCTGTCTGTTACCTTTTCACTTCTAAACCACTGAACAGGTTTTAATAAAATTTGGCACAGAGTAGCTTACATGTTGGAGAAGGACATAGTCTACATTTTACTGTGAGAAAATATCTTACTCCCACGAGAAAATTCAATATAATGCAGGCAAAGCTGTGGGTAGACAGCTAGTGATAAATAGAATAAGTTTTTTTACATTTATTACTTTTAAAATATAATTCTAATAATAATGAAAATAACATAAGGTTATTTAATTTTAATGTGACAAATGTGCATGATTTTCTTTGCACAACTTTGTAAAATTTGGTTGCTTTTTGATCAGCTTCAGTCTTGAGTCATCTTAGAGTTGAAGTCGGTGACAATATTTAGTTTCATGTTTGTCATGGCCGAAAATCCACTCTTGCAACATATGTTGTGAAAAATGATAGTAAATATTTTATTGCCGCTTCACTGACATGATGATAATGATAAATAAATATTGTACAATTAACACAAATTGTGTTAATTGTACAATTTTTGTTTCTTGCGTAAGAATTTCATTTAGGTATTGTCACAAATGCATTTTGTTGATGAAATTTCGAGAATATTTTTAGTTATAAATAAACGAATTTGTGTATTCAATATCATGTAAATTTCCGAATTTTTGATGGTCCACCCCATTATTTTTTTGATTGCTTCAGCTCATGGATTTAAATTTTAGATTGCCGCACATACCCCTTCATGCAATTTCGCATACCCCAGGGGTACGCGTACCACTATTTGGGAACCATTGCTTTAGAGCATGATCGACTTTGCAATTGGTACTTTGTCACATAGGAGTAGACAAATAAAAATAGGTTTCAGAAAGAAATAACTAAGTGTTAAGAAACACAAAACCCTTTATTCTGTGGAAAAATAGTACAAAAATTCCAGCAGATTGATTAAGAAACATTACAACAGGCCTGTATATCTTCTGCCTAACACAAATAAATGCCACATGTGAGTGGTGACTACATGTTGTTTAACATATTCTGTTGTGGTCTTAATGTACCGTACCTTCTACAGTTGCACTCGGAAATTGTCATCCAATTGAAAATTTGGAATGTTGGTCCTCCAACCATTCTTCTGTAGCCTGCATACCTTCCTTTCAGATTGGAAAGAGAGAGTAATCCAAAGGAACTAAGTTGGAAATAGGGCAAATGTCCGATCTGTGGTGTGCCAGCTTAGTTTTTATAGGACCAGACACTGCTCTCTGCCATGTCTTTGCAAAATGATACCTTTACTGAAAATAAATCATTAAAGATTTATTTCCATAGGGTGGTAACAAAGTCTCCCTGGCCAATTATTTCAGAAATTAATAGTATGCATTGGCAATAATAAACATCTACTCTGATTGCCTAAGGTTGGGCACGTGTACAGCAAGAACACTCCCTTCCTCCAGCCCTTCTATCATAGAGGGCTGTTGTGATCTTGACCCCTAATGAAAATAAGGTAACATCATCAAAGTTGTAGCATGCAAAAATTATGTATTACCTTTTTAATGCATTCTGGAATGGGCTGTCAAATATGATGGGTAAATGCTTCACTGCACAATACCCAGGTGCATTGCTGCATAAGTGGTTGAGCGTGCTGTTAGGTTTAAATTAACAGTGGTATGGATGTAAAAATGATTTGACTTAACTGAATTTCATATTTTCTAATAAAGCTGTGCTAACGTACCGCACATTCCCGCAATCCATTTGTGTGCAGTGAAGTATTTACCTGTTGTATTTGACGTTTTCGTGGTATCTCACTTAACATTTTGGAAAACACTAAAAGGTACTTTTTTCATATGCTATAACTTTAAATAAAATAGGTAACATTGTCCATTAGAGGCTGCGATTACAATGGCCCTTCTGTCAGAGGAGGAAAAAATCACACCTTGTTTTTCTTGATTCGTATGTGAACTTTACTTTGCTAATTAAATGATTTATTTCAAAAGATTTGAAATAAATCATTTAATTAATAGCAGTGTTTCAGTAACATGATTCTTGAATTGCAGAAACTGCATAATTTGTTATAAAATACTTTAATTTCATTGCCCATATGGGCTACAAATTGACAGTTTTGCCTCTGCACAATGATCAAAGTTTGTATATTCCAACAAAGATTTGAATAGTCTGCTAGAGCTGAATATAATTTAGTATTTTTGCCACCCGCAGACTGTCACAAATTATACAAAGAAATCTATGACAAATTTCATCATCTGAGTTTCTTCAATAGATGTTTTTGCCACATGGCTGCAGCAGTGTTAGTCATAACAAATAATTTTGTTTAAACTACTTTTGCGTAGTGTGTGGACTTTATCGGATCCTTCAGTAGTTGGGTATTCTTTTGAAATCTCATTACTGTAAAGGTCTGTAAATTAATACCAATATAGTGATGAAAAGTAACTTCCATATTGCTTTCTCTTGTGCCAACTCCTAGGAATGGTGCTGTAGTTTAAGATTAGACTATTTGTATGCTCAAGACACTTTTCTTTCAGGACGTTTCGACCAAGAAGTAATCTGTGACGAAAGGACGTGCTCCGCCATGCATTTATCGCACGACGTAGAGTGCATCTCGTCCACGTGGAGGAAGCAGACCTTTCCGCCAGATCGGATGGACGGAGACGCGTCGGGCGAAGTTCCTACAGTGTGGTGCTTAACGACAGAAATATTAGATCATTTTAACAATATACATTTATGCATAATAGAAGGGGAAAAGTGCTTTATTATGTTCTTTTTATACATGCCAATATTTCAAAGTGACTGTATGATTTATGTTAAAATAATTATTTTCTATTAAATTCCTTGATTAAAAAAAGTCCAATTGAAACAAGTGGCTTCATTTGTGCAAATTATTTTCATCAAGGACACAGTATTGTTTGCAATCTTTATCAAGTCCAGAGACACAGCGATTTGCGTAAGACTTACACTTATTAATGAGAACTTTGATGCCAAAGACTACTCTGTCCAGCGGTGTGCACAATTTGGATTCGTACAAACATAATACAATCTCATTTCATCCTGAAATTAAAAAAAGGAAAAATTTAATTTTTGATTAGTGGGGGGAGAAGAAGGAAGGAAAGAGAAAACTCACTTCAGCTCTTCTGCTCTGCGCCTGAAAGAAGACCGCCTCACGATGTGCACACTTTGGACAGGGATGCTGATCTGTTCTAGGCAAGGTGGGATCATGAATCACATCAGACACTATCTGAGTCAGCTCACTGTAAACATGTTAACTTTTAGACAAGACACTTACTCAACCACTTGAATAGGAGACATACTCACTCGACTTCATGGGTGATCTTGTTGACATAAATACAATTATTATCTGCCCTTTCTTGATAATCGCAGTTCCTACACTAGAATGTAGAAAGTATGTTTTGAACAAGGATTCTCAATAACCACTGATACAATAGTGTGCAGGAGGGTAGAGGAAAGATGGGATCTCGGACTAAAGAATAGCATTAAAATAAGTTTTTGTATAAATTTAGATTTGTGATCCCCTCTGGTACAAGAAAGATATCCATGACATATCTGATTAGTCAGCATTGCAAATTACTATTCATTAAGGGGGAATCAGAGTATAAAGTCTTTAATCTAATTCAATAGCAGTAAGTAAAATGAATAAATGACATAAACAAAGCTGGAACAATGTTTGAATTAGTACATAGCTTTAGTTCAAATGGAACCATCAGGAGTTGCTAATGATTCCAAGTAAATAAGGGGATGCTTGGAATCCATTTTACTTTATCTGTTAACTAGAACATGACTTCATTTACTAAGAGGCTTTTTTTTTTTTTTTTCTTCAACCTCCAATGGTCCATAAAGAAAAGACAAGTGTAAATAACAAAATGAATTTATTATCAAAAGTTAGGTACAAACATGGTTACTTTTTGACATAATCACCATGAAGATCGAGGCATTTGTCATACCTGTGAATGAGCTTTTCCATCCTATCTTCACAGAATGTTGCTGCCAATGACTAGATAGGCCTTAACGTTTTGAAAATTGTCATTAGTCTCAAACCTCTGCTCTCCTAGCCACGTTTTCAGTTCAGGAAAGAGGTGAGTCTTCACACAGAAGTTCCAAGCTAGGTGGAAGACCTCACCACCTTTAAACACTCAGCATATAGCCCTAAGCGACTTCCACCTCTTTCCTGAACTAAAAACGTGGCTAGGAGGACAGAGGTTTGACACTAATGACAATTTTCAAAACAACGTTAAGGCCCCATCTAAAGTCATTGGCAGCAACATTCTATGAAGATGGGATGGAAAAGCTCATCCACAGATATGACAAATGCCATGATGTTCACAGTGATTATGTTGAAAAGTAACTACGTTTGTACCTAACTTTTGGTAATAAATTCATTTTGTTATTTACACTTGTCTTTTCATTATAGATAATTGGAGGTTGGAAAAAACTGCCCTTGTAATTAGCATAGTTCTATGATAAAGTTCTACATCAATAAAGTTTGTAATAAAGAATTTTATGGAAGCTTAGGTATTAGTTTCTAAAAGGCACTAAGTAATACACTCATGTACACATTAGTTCTGATGGTGCCAGTGTTCACACCCATCCATAATTATTTTCACCTGGAAATTTAACTTTTGTTATAAAAAAATAAATGAGTGAATTCTAACCTGCAACCTTACAAATAAACTGAGTACCAAAAGGATAAATTCAAGTATTTAACTTTTGTAAATTTTAAAATGATTTCCACTTAATACTTACTGCATACAGCAAGACCTTGACTTCTTTATCTTCTTTTGGATACAACATGTTGTTGCTTTGGAAAGATTAAATTAAGTAAAAAGCATTGTTTAAATAAAGACTGCAGAGTAAAAAAAATGTTTACCATTCCTGACAGAATTTTATTCCGACAAAACCAGGTTCATTTTCGGACAAAACGGCTCTCGGCATCTTCTTTCTAAGTTAAAGTAAATATATGAAAGTTCATTAAGGTGGTTTGATTTCTTTGTTTTAATTGAATTTGCAAGCTTATATACTAAGAGTAAGCTGCAAATAATAAATTGTTTTTAACTACAAATTGTAGGATTTGCCAGCACCACAAGAGTTGCAAGAAATGGGATGCTATGTATCCAGGAGACTACTACTAAAGATTGCTGGGTATTTTGACTATTCATATTCAATTCTGCATCCCCAGAGCAATAGCCTATTGCCATAACTGCCACTTAAGAGATAAACATTTGAGTTATTTGTGTGGTATAAAGTCAAATGTGCTGTGTGAACCTCCCATTTCATTGGGTATAAAAATTTCTGTATTGACAAAATTAGTACTTAATGATAAAATCACTAAATACATGGTCCTAGTTTCATACCTGACCGTCAGCTATGTGGAATTCGCTTCATACATCTAACACTCAAATGGGACCAATCAAGGCTAAATTTACTCATAAATCAAATGAGCTATAGAATAAAGCCTGCTAGTATAGGACCTGAAATAATCTGTATGGTCTTGGCAATGACTAGCATGGAATAAGTTAGATGTTATAACTATTGCAGACTGGGTCATAAAGAATTCATGAGGCATGGGGTAGAGCATGCCACTTTTGCCATGTTTCTTTATTAATAAAAAGCAGTCTTAAATAACTAATGTATAGGGGTAAAAACCAATAAGTTGAATCAAGTTTTCTCGCACCAAAGGAAAATTCTCCACCATCCTGATCACAGAACACAATAAGCTCCAGTTTTGCTTGTTACAGGTTAAGTTGAATCACAACTTGATCACCAAGTAAGGCATAAGACAAAGAATGAAGTTCAAGCACAAGACAGGATTTAAATCTCATTTAATAAAGTATGATCTGGATCCATGTGTGATCCAAATTGAGTACACAGTTGTGGATCCGAGCTATACAACAACTCATTAATCACCACTAAGTGATGAGTTGATGAACGTATTGGGATGTTTAGCCATAAATAACTACATTCTCAGGTATATAACACGTGAATTTCCTCCAAAAAATGCCCACAGTTGCAAAATATAAACTCAAACAACAGAATTTGAGAAAAAAGTAAAGAAATCAGTGAGAAAATGATCATATACCTAAGCCTGAATGGACCCAAAATACCACGTGGTCAAAACTAATGACGTGTGTGTGAAATTGATCAGTTTATCGCATTAAAATTATACATGTGGTTTATACTGGTTAACAAATAAATTAAATAAGACATTTGTAAAATTATATAAACGTTATAAAAGTCAATATTTTAAGAGAAATTCGGCCATACCTTTACGAAATTTCAACACAATTCGATTCAATAATTCCCGAAAGCGATCATAGATGGCGCGGCAAAAAAAGTAAATGTATATTCTAAAAATTTAAAGGAAATAAATACATATTTTAAAATATATAATTGATGTAAGTATTAATTTATTAAAATTTCATAAATAAATTTTAAACGTTTAATAAAAATAATAATAAATAAATAATAGTTAGATTAATAAAATGCCGTCAGATGGCATAACAAAAGATTACTATATTTGTTTAATTTAATGATTTAATTACCGTATTAATTATTTTATAACAAAATTATAATTAAAATTCACGATATTGAGTTAAATTTTAAATGATTTTGCGATTAAATTAAGTTTATAATATAAAAAATAAACATCGCCAATGGTATAAGTGTATCCCTCTGGTGGATCAAGTAGAAACTACGCTGATTGCATCTTAATGACTTTTCTACGAGTAAATCATTAATCATAAATAATTTATAAAGTTTTTTTTTTACATGCTAAAATGCGGGATATTTTAGGAAGTAAATGTCATTCTGTATAATAAGCATCAAAATAATATATTTATGCAAGAAATTAGGGTTAGCTTACAATCTATACAGAATAAATATTAAAAAAAAATTTAATTACAGATAATGAAATAAAAATGTTATTTACTATAAATTCAAATTACATTCGAGATAGATTTCATTCTGCATTATTTTATTAAAAATTATTTAGCAAATTTTAAATTAAAAATACCACTTGGCACGCGGGCATTTTCATAAAGAATCAAGTGAATTACAACAAAAACCCGAAGAAGAGTTAAATAAAATATAGCAGAAATTGTATATTTTACAACCTGATAAGTGAAATTTCATTTAGAACTTAATAAAAGTAAATAAATTAATAAAATGGGGATATATACAATGTTTGAATTTTATTTTCATTAAACCACAACGTCGTGTAAACTGCCATTACGCGGAAATTCGAACATTCATGAATATCGCATTTACCACGAAATTCAAGCAATTTTTGAATATTTATAAAATTTTTCTATAAAAATCGACGTTTTAATTATTTATAAATTAAAATAATTCATAAATTTCAAAATAAATTAATATTTCTCAAAATACACAAGGACATAATTCACTAACACCATTCAAATGTCAGCCTTATGATTAGCCATTAATTATAATTAAAATAAATGTAATTTTAAAAATATAATTATAATTAAAAAAGCCTAATTAAAATACATAAAATTAAAAGCGACATCTATTAAATAGAAAATAAAAAAAAAAGAAATTAAATTAAACAATTTTTTATTCATTAAAAAAGGATCAATAAATAGTAATAATAATAATAATTTATTAAATAAAAAGTACATTCTGGAAGAAAAGAACTAGACTGGAGCGGGACTTGAATTCACAACCTTTGCTTACCTGCCTATGGGGCACTTGCTAGTTATGCCATCTTGACTTTGAGCAAGTCTTCGCTTCCAGAAATATTTAAATTTATGATTAATTACAGCGAGAATTTGGATTAGTAAATAATTGTGTGAAAACAGTCTTTAATTAAAACATGTATCACATGTAATTATATTTTTTACAAAATCATGTTAACATTAAAAAAATATATATGTGAACTTTATTGCTTAGTCATGATTTATTTGCCAAAGTGAATGTTGTCAAAATTCAAATTTTTAAAAGTCAAATATTTGCATAATTTATTTTTATTTTTAATAAAATTGAATTTAAATAGTCATTTTTTAGCTCACATAAGCCGAATTTGTATGTTATCATTGGTTTTAAAATTTTTGCTAATATGGATGATCATATTCATACAGTCGACCCCCCCCCTATAAGATCATTGATTTTTCCGTTTTATCTGAATTACATGTTGTACGAGTCACTTAGATTTTACAAATATGTGAGCCGTTCACAGTCCGGCACACGTATTTGTAAAATCTAACTGACTCGTACAACATGTAATTCAGATAAAACGGAAAAATCAATGATCTTATAGGGGGGTCGACTGTAA